TTCATTATTAGATTATATTAATCAACAAGCTATTACATTAATTAGCAAGTCTCACCAAAATACTAAAAAAAATTTAGATAGAGAAATCATTAAGTAAAATAAAAATTTAAATACTATAAATGATATAAATTATCAAGAAACTTTGGTTTTTGCATCTGAAGAAACTTTAGTTTTTGTATATGAAGAAACTTGTAATACTTCTAAAATTATGTAACAAGAAATTGACAAAAGATTGAAATTCGCAATGCATCTATAAGAAGAGTTTAATGCTCAACATGTTAACACCTTGTTAAATAAATCAAAAAGTCTGCTACAATAATAGATGACATCGATAAAGTTCAAAGAAAATGCTTACAACAGAATACTTAAGATGGCTCAAAACCATGGATGATGCTTCTGCAAAATTAGCTATTTTTTTTTTTGTACATTTTTTGCTTTATTTTTTGAGATAGTGTTTGAGTAAAAAAAAAAAAAAACTGAATTTAACAAAAAAAATTATTTTACCTTTAACATTTTCGCACAATCTATTTTATTAAAAAGTATATTAGATGATGCTATATTCAAATAACCACCTTATCCTAATGAATGATATGAAATATGATATATCAACTTTAACAAATAAATAAATCATATTTGCTTATACGTATGATTAATCAGCATTTCTTTTTTATTAAGGTTATTATATTTCAAAACATCAGAGACCATTAATTTGTTTGTCAAAATTTTAAAAATCCAACTATTATATTTAATTTGCACATGTTTGATGATTTCTAAAGAGAAAAAAATAAAGTCGACCTCGTACAAATGGCAAAGAAATCTTTAATAAATGAAATTCAGAAATAATAAAAAGAATTATAATAACGAGTTATTATACCCCCAATATTCATATACAAATGTTAGAAATAATTCTATAGAATAAATTTATGTGAAATAAAAACTTTAATTAGTATTACGATATCTATTTCTGTAAAAAAGTTTCTACGTATTAATTAGAGAATATAATCATTCGCGTGCATTGTTGTTTTGGTCCAAAAATCAATTGTTCGATATATTTGTCATATGTAACACGACATTTCACGACACTGTTAATCTTAAATTTTATCCGACCGCCATGGATTGCCCGAACCTAAATCCGAATCTTACGACCCGGAATTTTTGGGGATCCCCCTGTATGAATCAGATTTAATTGATAGGTCTCGAAAAATCACGGGAATGCGAAGTACATTATACTAAAAGTTAAAAAAAATTTTTATTGGCTAAGCCACAATGTTAATCATCCAAATTCGGGTAAAAAACATTGTAGTGTAACGGATTTAATTTTAATGCGCGTTTTTAAAAAAAATTCACACACATTGATATTTTAAAAAATGGAAGTAGATTTCTTTAAAAAACTTTCCAATGATTATCTTGAACTTCTTAATGTTGATGAGGATTTTAATGTAAATATTAATGTTGGTGAAGCACCAAATATTAAAATCTTCCAAGCAAGTTCATCAGTTTTAAGACAAAGATCTTTATATTTTCGTAATGAATTGAAGAAAGCTAATAAAGATCAAGATAATATTAATATGATTCATTTAAAAAATATATCTATTCAACAGTTTGAAATTATTATAAAGTAAGTTGTTTATAAAATATTTTTGTATTTTAATATCTGAAAAAAAATTTATTAATCATATTAAGTTCATAAAGATATATTTACGGAGGAAAACTTTTATTGGAAAGAATTAATGAAGCATTTATTTTTGAACTTATGATTTCTGCTCACGTACTTCTTCTTGAAGAATTGGTTAAATATCTTGAAACATATATAATTAAAGAAAAAGAACATTGGCTTCGGTCAAATATTGCACGTGTTTATCAAACAAGTTACCAAAATGATTATCTTCAAGAGTTACAGAAATGGAGTACTGATTATGTAGCAAGGGATCCAGAAAACGTTTTTAAATCTGAAGGTTTCACTTCACTTCAGGAAAAGGCTTTAATTGCTCTTATCAATCGTGATGATTTACAAATGGAAGAAATTAAAATTTGGAATTATGTTATCGAATGGGGAATTGCACAAATCCCTGGTTTATCAAATGATCCTAAGAATTGGTTAAATGAAAATTTTCAAGCTTTAAAGACAACTCTAAAAAATTGTTTGCCTCTTATCCGATATTTTCAAGTATCAGAAGATGACATTAATAGTAATGTACAACCATACAAACAAATTTTAGATGAAAACCTCTGGAAAGATATTACCAAGAAATTTAAATATCCACATGGCCGAATAACATCAAAGCCTCTTCCAGCTCGTATAATTTTAAGACCATTTAGGACAACAAGTGAATTTTCAAGAGTCATTAATGAAGAAGATACAGCAGAAATTGCATCATGGATTGATAATAAAATTAGACCATATTCCATAAAAAATAATCCCTATAACTTTAATCTACTTCTTCGTGGAAGTAGAGATGGTTTTACAGTCAAAGCATTTTGGAGATTATGTAATAATATAAAAAACGTTGTTGTAGTTGTAAAAGTTGAAGATTCGGATGAAATTCTTGGTGGATATAACCCTAATGGTTGGAAAAAACCATATAGCAACATTGGAGGAGAATTTGAATATTGTGCAGAGAGTTTTATTTTTTCTTTAAAGAATAGTACAAATCAAAAATCAATTTTAAGTCGAGTAAAAGACCCAAGACAGGCAATTTATAATGCTCGTAATAGTGGACCATGCTTCGGTGGCGATTATCCAGAGTTTGATGAAAGTGATGGATCAATGTTTGATCTTGGTATTTACGACGTTAACGGTGATTGTTCTTGTGAACAATATGCTTATAAGAAACCAATTAAAGAAAATCCTAAAGACAAAACGGCATTATTTGAAATAGAAGAATATGAAATATTTCAAGTTGTAGAAAAATCTTAGCAGTTCCTCTATTAGAATATTATTAATATAGAAATACGTATATTAGCAATTATTTTTACTGCATGTAATATCGATATTTGATAAATATTTCTATTAAAAAAAAAAAAATTCATTAGCTAGCCCTTCGAAGCTATACATGTGTGCCTAAATTAGAGGTGATTTACGGCATTACGGCATGCCTATATTTTTTATATTTTCGGCATACTCTCTCAAATGCCTAAATGCCGAAAATAATTTCGGCTGCTGAAATTATTTTCGGCTGATCTAATTATTTTCGTTTGTATGTGACCAATATTTCTTACCGTCATGTGTTAAATATACACATCTTATACTTTTTATATGTAACGTTATAATAGCTTATCTTGTAATTAAGTAATGATCGAACTATCATAATATGGAGTGTTATCTATTAAAACAGCCCTTTTTTGCAATTTTTCGAAAAATGAGTTTTTATTGGATTCATATAAATTTTGACATGATTGACATTTTTCAATTATAAATGAAAGTCGATTTGCATAATAAAAAATCAAGATAATGTAAAAGAAAAATTACACGAAGCTGCCCAAGGTCAGCACATCACGAGATTATCCGATAGTCACCTGTTACCTTTAACCAATCAATCCCGAAAATCAAAACAAATGATTAAACTCAATTATCTCGAAATGAAAAAAGGGCTGTTTTAATAGATAACACCCCATATATTAAACTTTGACGATCATTAAGACATTTTAATAGTTAGATCGTAATTTACATTTTGCATAATAGCATATAAATATAGAGGAATAATTTTCTAATTAGTGGGATTTGGATCATCTTGTACTGGTTACACTTTGGGAATATATTTTTAGTTTGTACACTTGAATGAATAAATCACTTTTTTGCATATTGAATCGGTTCTTTGTCTCTTGTGTCTATAAAGATTGTGTTCTTTTGGTCGTTATTAAACTTTTAATGCTTACGACCCTGAACTAAATTGGTAACAACGTTTGAAAGTCTCTCCATTGGTTGCTAATGAAATAATAGATTTTGATACCTTCACAGAAAAACAAACAAATGAAATAAATTACAATAACGATATAGAAGCTGAGGGAGAACTTGATTACGATATTAATGAAGTCATTAACGCAGCTATGAATATACATGTGTGCCTAAATTATTTTTGAAATAAAGTTTTTTTGGCAAACATTTCGGCATTGCTAAATTTTTTATATGAAACCCTTCGAAATAACTATACTATATGATGTATTTTGATGAAAAGAGTTCAAAAAATTTCGACAATAATTTCGGCAAATATGAAAATTAATTTCGGCACTATATAAGACTAATTTCAGCTGCCTAAATGCCATAATTACTTTTTTATTAAGATGGGCAATTTAGGCACATATGTATAGCTATGAATAATACAAAATAAAAATTTCTTTAGCATTGAATTTTAAATATTTTTACGGGATCGATTAAAGCCATGTACCTTTACATATAGATCTACATATTGCATAAATTCCATTCTTGATATCTATATATAAATAAAACTATTAACTGCATCAAAAAAACTAACCCTAAGGTACATGGCTTTAATCGTCCCCTAAAATAGTAATTAACCTATCACTAACCCTAACTAAGTAAGATCTGCATCAACAACGTAACTACCTCCCATCGCAGGTTTCACCCTTTCATATTATATTTATTTATAATAAAATTATAACTTTTGCGCTTTATTTAAAAAAAACATTCGAAAATTTCAAACACAAAATGCGTGAGAATTTAAAACTTAATTTGAACTATTTTAATTGTTACATATTGAGAAGGTGTGAACTGGTTCTGGAACGGAACTCGACCTATGGTTTCAGTTACACCTGTGTTCTGGTTTATAAACAATCAACACTAATCCAACAATCAACCCTAAGTTGGTAGGCTGAAAGACGGTGTGGAAGATTTGGTCTGGGTTTTAGGGATCTTGTAGATTTTCCTGGGTATTTAGCCTGATACTTTAAGGTAGGTGTTTGGTTATTGACTCTTGGTTCTTATACTTTAGACTAATTTCGGGGCACGTGATCTGAATATCACTTCGATTGGTTATTGATGTAACAATGGAGATTTTGGGTTTATCAATAAAACTATATGCAGGGTGATTGCTTATTGTTTAAATTGATCGGGGTTTGATTATATCAGGGTGGGTTCTAACAATAACGATTTTTAATACAACAATGGTGGACTTATACCAAACTTCTACTCGTATTTCGAAGTTGGTCTCTTAAACACTGAACTTATTTGAGTTATTATCTAAACTCCGAAAGTTATCCTTTATTTGAGAGCAACTTGCGTTGCTTTTATAGATAATTTTACTTATGAAAACTATAAAAACTATAGAAACGATAAAAACTATAATAACAATAAAAACGATAATGACTATAAAAACTATAATAATAATAATAATAATAATAATGCTGATAAAAACCATAAAAACTATAAAGATAATAAAATCTATATCGATTATAAAAACTATAATTTCTATAGGAACTATAGAAATTATAATACTGATAGCAGAAATCGTGCATATCAGAGATGGTACTATGCCAGAAGGTAGTAAAGCTGGGATGATCAAATTACCTTTTACAATATACGTATAAATTACATGCAAGTAATTTTAATTTATTCATTCAAGTTGACTAAAGTCAACAGATCGAAAAGATGCTAAGTGGGCATGATAAGCTCATGAAACTGCAGCAGAAACAGGTTTATCGCCGCAGAATCAGAATTGCAGGTAAGTATGACGTTAAATGAATGCCTCATATGGTAAGTAGAAAATACTGTGAGTATAAAATTAAGAAAAGAGCAAATAGGACTCTGCACTGACAAATACCAATTCGGCTCCAACGGACCTCAATTCGCAAATAAACAAGAAAGCAAAATGAAAAATGAGCCAAGATAGGCCTGAAGGAAGCACCACATCTCAAGAAACAGTAGAATCATCAGAAGCACCAAGTTCTCATAACCAAGAACAATAGGGTGTCAAGTTATGCATAAATCCACAGACCAAAGCGTACTTAGATGCGATGATTCAAGCAACAGCAGTGTCAATAATGCAAAATATGTGGCAATACATGGACCAACAGCTTGAGACCCAAAGAGAATTGAATACACAATATATGGAAATGATTAACAGAAGATTTATACAATTAGAACAGATGAATTTAGCAAATGATGAGCACAACTGTGATGATACCAGCAGACAACCTATAGAAATTCAATATCCACAAAGCAACGAACAAAGGTCAGAACAGCAAACAGAAGGCGCGAAAACAAATTTGAACTCAACTCAAGATAATTACCCCTCAACTCCAATAATCACTAATCTAATCATAAGAACCCCAGGAACCCAAGGAAATGAAAGAGGCATTGTGAAGGAACCACTAAGGTACAAGATAACAACTCAGAAGTTTCTAGCAGTAGATTATACAACAATAGAATTATTGCTGGCAGTTCAAGGAATGAGCAATCAGAAGGCCATAGAGACTGAACGTATTCGGTTATAGTGGGTTATGAACTGAACAGAGGGTCAGAAGATGATTGAAATGCTCCCACAAAAGTCAAATTTAACCAACAAGACATAAAAGTCATTAGCTTTTGGTATATTTATAAACCTACAAGAATTTGTGCATAAGAATATAGTAGACAATATAAAATATATGGACGATGAAACAATTTTACAGACAGCAGAGAATGGGACTATAGCATTGAAAAAGAGGATATGTAATAATTTATTTCGTGATATATCTGATTAGATATTAGCATTCAAAGCATACATGGATGCAGTACTTATTCTGTACAAAAATCAAGAACAAGAGCTGAACATATATAGAGACTATATCAATGAATTGTGTATTAGATACGAATTTTAAGCTGTAGTAAAATATGATGAAGATTGAAGAATTGGCTTAGTAATGAATCGAGACATTACACTTTTTGAGAGAGATATTGAAGCTAAAGGGAAAAATTTTGATATAGCAGTGACAAAGAAACCAAAATATGAACGGCAATATTCCAACTGAGCTAACATATTATAGTATGATGGGAGAGAAGTATGTATAAACTAGAATAAGAGATTATGCACAGAAGATAGAAATTGTGGTAGAGTACATGCATACTTGGTATGCAAAAGATTAGGCCACAATGAGAAAAATTGCTATCGAAGAGTTTCAAGAACTAGACAATCTAATACTACAAAAGATGAACCACAGAATAATGGGTAAAACAGGCAGCAGAAAAATAGCAGTCTCAATATTAACTAAAAAGAAATGGATAATTTAATTTGTACATAAGCTAAACTGTATGATGTAAACATAACAATATATATGTAAAAAAAAAAAAAAAAAAAAAAAAAAAAAAAGAGAAAAGAGAAATATATATATCGGTTATATAAATAATCTACTAACACTAACTTCTCATATTATGATAACAGTGATAAAAAAGAGTCAAAAATTAACTTTAAAATATCTGACATGATTCAAAATATCTAGAGTATTGACAGCAAACACAAAACTATAGTTACAATCAGTTAATCAATCTATCAAGACCACACCTTCAAGATGTAATCTATTATCATTAGAGGAAGTAATATTAATAGTATAGTTAGACCCAAAGTTTTTTAATATAATAACATCTATAAACAAGTTAGCATTCAAATACCTTACCCAAAATCATCTGAATCGACATTTATTCAATATCTAATAAATGGGTTGGACCAAGAATTTAGATTTAATTTTACGAGTAAACGTGTAGTAGTCATACAGGATAATCTAAAATCTTTAGAGATAGATCTATTAGTATTTATAAATTACATAAATAAAGAACTAGAAATAGGCTGAATGTGTGGTCTATTTTTGTTATCAGACCTGCTATGCATAGTGTTTCAAATTAACCTATGTGGGCTAGTTGAGAAAAAGGATACAAATCCTAAAGCATACTGTGTAATTTCTCATTTGTCTGCTCTATTCAGAAAA